GAACGGAGTGGTTCCCCCACATAAACAAAGATGAACCACTCCTCCTATTTCTCAAGAGCGGTAGGGTTCTCGGTGAAAAGTTGGAGGAAGGGGCGAGCGACCAACCGCAAATACCCCGTGGACCAGTAGGGCTGATAGCTGTAGTGATACAAAAATAGGTTGACGTTCGGGACTATGCCCATGTCTTGGCATCGAACGATGAAACCGGTCAGAAGACCATATGTGTTGGGCACGAACTGGGCTAGGAGCACCGAAACCCGGCACAGAAATTCAACAATGAATGGATGCATGGGAAACCGAAGATCGGCCACCAAGGCATCCATATGCACCAGCACACATCCCGAACGGTGCCTCATGGGATGTTTGATGGAACCCGCATAAAACTCGCGCGGAGGGGGCAATAGCTGGGGGAGCGACTGTTCGGCATCCACGGGAAGACATTGACGTTGTTTCCTGATACACTGGAAGTTCAGCGTATAACGAAGGGGGTTGTTCGGGCATCCCCTTCTCATAAATGACAAGTCATTGCCAGATGTGCACCCATCATCTGGGAGTGGCTGGTCGGCTTGGGAAGAAGTAGAAGAGTTAGTAGAACCTAAGGTCCGGGCAGACTAGCACCATTGCTTGGTCCAGTTTTGCCTCTCGAACGACAAACTAGCACCATTTCTTCTGAATCAGATGAGCTGAGGAAACCAGACATAAAAAAGAATAAGGCAAGGTTTCTAGAGAGAGAAAGCTTAGGAGATAAAGAGCTTAGAGAGATAAGAGAAGCATCAGATGAATAGTGGAGAAGCAGCTCCCTTATAAAGGAAAAATTGCCGCCAAGAGTCCAAACTTGTAATTGACACGTGGTGGAAAACGGTTGAGGGCAGTTAAACCACCATCAAGGGTGGATGTGCTCGGACGGGGTACTCGAGCCTTACATCAAACCGCGACCGCGAACACTTGGTGGATGAGAGAAGAATTGGGAATGATGGATGATTACCCCAGAGATCATTGAAGAAGAACCCTCTGTGACAGAATCCCTCTGTCACATAACACCTCTGTATCAGAACCCCTCTGACACAGAGACCCTCCCTATTCCACAGAAGGCTGTGGACTTGGCCAAATTTTTGAGAAACCGGGGTAATCAAGCCTCAACAGAACGACATGAGAAAGTTCGAATTTGTTTTACAGACTTGGGCTATTCATGGTAATTTTGCGCAGAACACTCAAGTAATTTTTTTTCTTACTCATTCCAAAAAGCCCATATGTTCTTAGGGTACAGAGCACCCTAGAAATAATGAAATTCAAATCTGAATCAAGTACTGGATATCGACTTGACTCAACGGATTGCGAGAAGTTCGCTACTTCTATATGGTATTAAGCGCGAAATCGATTACCATTTTTATTCGCAAAATTGATTACCATCTTAATTGGAGATATTCTGTTACGCAAACTTCCTTATGAAGCGCTGAAAGCCCTTCGCAGCCTATAAATTAACAGAACGCTCGTCCAAGAACTCACACCTTCTCCTCTTTTAATCCTGCATACACTTAGGGGGGAAACTTAAGATTCTCTAGCCCTCTGAGAAATTTCTTCTTGCCTTTCAACTTCATTATTCCTTAATATGGAAAACCCACATGACATTTCTTCCGAAGTGAATCAAATGATGAACTCCTTGACAGAGGTCAGGGAGGCACTCTCCATTCTAATGGAGCGCGTTGACCTCCTCTCCCAGGAAGTTGAGGCTAATCACAAGAAACAATAGAGCACCATAAACGCTCTTCAATTTGCCTCTCTTACACTAACTGATGCAACCAAACAATTGCATTTGATGTCTCTATATGGCTGATGTTAAAAAGGGGGAAGAGAACTGAGATGTGGAAAGCACGATGTAGAAAATAAAAGGGAAAAGAACAGAACGAAGAAGAATAGTGCAGACAATGTTTATATTTATTACTTAACCCTTCTTCTCTCTGTATCTTGAATCCATTATGTTTAAATAAAATAATATTGTTTGTTTATTACAATCGTATTTGTTCTTACATTTCTTTAAATACTTACTGCTTTCTTATGCATGTTGCCCACCAAGTTTAAAAAGTAATATGGAAATTTTTCCGTTTCAATTTATTTAAAAGGTGAATGGCACATCTCTGGAAAGTAGAATAAGCGTTTTGGCATCATCAAAAAGAGGGAAATTGTAAGGAATAAATTGTATTTAGATTTTGATGATGCTAGACTATTTAGGTTTTTAGAACAAATTAAAACCCCTTTAGAAAATTGTATTAGAAATTTCCATATGTAAGCACTAGAAATTTCCATATGTAAAACCCCTTCAGGCCCTCTGTTGGACTTCTACTGGACAAAAGTGCTCGAGGCTCTCTGAGATTGCCCCTCTGTGTAAAGCAACAGATGGCCTCACACTTGGAGATTTTCGCAGCTACCTAAGCCGGTTAAACTAACGGGATATACCCTAACGGCTAGGAGCTCCTCATCGGGAAAGCTATAGTACGCGCATCAAATGCCCATTTAATGTGCTTCACACGTTGAGATATATAAAGCTGATGATTGACCAAGGATCCAAAAAGAATATCTTTACGCGCCCAAAAATGGCAAGTTGTCTACTTTTGGTACCAACTGGTCAAATCTACAGTACGAGCATTTAATGCAGTTGTCTTCTTCCTCCACTGGGAAGACAACTCTAGTATATATGATACTACATGAAGAACTACCTGGATAACTTTTGCTCTCTAAAAAAACATTCAAAAAGCTATCTTGAGATCAAAACGTCATCTTCCTCAACAAGAATAGCTTACGTTGGAAAAGATATTTTTTCCACATATTCCATATCCAACTAAGAGCAAAGTTCCTCCAGTTCTTCAACACTTCAAACACCTCAACTACATATCTTTTGTGACGAAGCAAGTTGGAGAAAATCCTGTTCTAAACAATTTTCTTCTAAAGAAGGGCGTCTTAAAGTAACTGGAGTATTGAAGTGTGGATACTTCAAGGAAACTCAGTGAAACAAGACCAGTCTTAAAGGAAACAAGGAAGTGCATACCAGGAGACATCTACACTTGAAGAAGACGTGGAGAGCTTCTTAAGTGCTAGGACTAAGGCTGTGTAATTGTGTATTTTACAAGCTTAGTGGAACAGTGGACTAGAGGAACGAGTTGTTCCTTGAACCACTATAAAAATCCCCTGTGTCATTTACTTACTGCACTTTTTATTCTTGCATTTATATTTGAACTGCTTAACTCCAAAAGACTTGGTCTCTGTGTTCAGCAGAACAAGTCTTAAGAGTTAACAGAAGGCCATTGCCTTTGCACCTCTGTGAGGCTAAACCGGACAGAACACCTACCAGAAGACTATCCGCTGCCAGTCTGTTCTCCAACAAAACAGGCTATTCTGTTAACATTGGTACTTAGCTTGAAAAAGTTAAAAACCAGAACAGTCTATTCACCCCCCCACTCTAGATTGTTCCTTGTATAAACGGGACCAATAGAGATCAATGAATCGATTTCAATTGAAAATATCCTTAAATTGAAAGGTGAACATAAATTTAAGATAACATTAAGACAAAATTATACAAATTTTGCAAATCTTAACATTTAACTCATATAAATTTTGTAATACTTAAATCATTACAAATGTATTTTTTATTTAAGATAAACAATATCCGTAAGGATATTAGTTACCTCTATATCACCAAATGTCCCCAAAAAAAAAAACCTACCTCAGACCTCAAACCATTAGCTGGACTCCTCCCCCTCCTTATAATTTCACCCTTAATATTGGCCACTCTCAAAGAGGCCTTTCTCACCATTTTGGCTTCATTGTTCGGAATCATACGGGTGACATGATCACACATCATCGTCACTGCCTTTTTTCCAAATCCTATATCAAAGCCTTCATTGAAATAATCCTTTACTATTTGGATCATTGCAGGGATAATGGCATTCCTTTCAACCAATTGGATATCTCAGATCAGAAAGTTATTCAAACCATCAATATGCATAGCATAAATCACTGGGATCAAATTTTCAACATTACTTGCCTTCGTAGGATTTTGGATCAAAAGCGGATCATCATGTAGCTTCGTCCCTTATCGAGCTTCTACAACACCGAATTGATGAAGATGAAAGATGATGCAGTGACGGTGAGAGGCGACAGCGACGGTACAAGGCAACGGCGCAAGGCGTAGAGACTGCGGCCGCCACAAGTGGGAGGCTCCTACGGTCGATGTGGTTAGGAGGCTTCGGCGAAAGGCTCCTTGGCTTTAGAGATGCAAGGATAGGAGAGAGAAAGGGGTTTGGTGGGAGCTCTTTGGACGGAAGAGAGAAATGGCTGGGTCATAGGAGCTGTTCGATTGCAGGAGAGAAGCGAATGTGTGACTTTTTTGTCAATTTTCAAAATGGTCATATTATTAGAAATCAAAACTAACCTCCCCTTTGGGCATTTAGCCGATTAACTGACTAAGAATTTCTAATAAGCTAATGAGTCAATTAGTCAATTAGGGGCTAAGGACTTTCATATATGCATCAGAAAGCCTTTTTTGGGCAAGAAAAAAAATCAGCATAGGTTATAAGGGGACTTCAAATTAAGGGCTTAAATGGATAGTAAAAACGCCACTCCTAAGACTTGTTAATGGACCGGCTAAACTGTGATCAATATGGATCACAAATCTTTACTAAAAACTTGCTACTGTGTCCAATTACAACACAAAAATGCAATATATATAACAATAGTCACCACTTAAATGTAAGACAACCCAGCTGAAGTTTGACCAACTCATGTTGCAATTCCTCCTAGAAATATGCTTTATAGTGCAAAATGTCAACTCATAAATCAACTCCAAAGTTACCCAAAAAATCGTTCGCTATGTATAACAAATCTTGTACTTGAATATTCTAACAGATTAGAGGCAACCACCCAAATAAACAAAACCCCCAAGATTGCAAATGAAAAATGACACCAAGAGAAATTATATCAGCCAAATGCCAATAAAATATAGCTCCCTAATAATCATTAAAACTTTGTTCCACCCATTAATACTCAGTTTCATAGAATGAGTAAGTTCATATCTTTATTGATGAGCACATGCCAAGTAAAATAATTTCAAACACACACCTACACAAAATTCATGTAATACATGCAGTAATATAGGAGCAATTGATATTGTCTTAGGATGATAATACTTTAACGGGCACATATAATTATTCTTTATTATTTTTTGAAGTTAGAACAAAATGATTGAAGGAAAGAAAATACTTTAAATGAAAAGTTATACTCCCTCCGTCCCGTTGGGATGTTCCCGCTTTCCTTTTTTAGCAGTCCCAAAAAGAAGTTCTCATTTCCCTAAATGGAAAGTTATCCTAGATCAAAACAGTGCAAAACAGTGTCAAACCGTGTCAAACAATATCGAAATAGTGTCGAAACAGTGTCAAAACAGTAAAATTTACCTCTAGTAAGTTTATTTCGTTAATATGCATGTGGGTCAAACCGGGAATATCCAACGGGACGGAGGGAGTAGTAAATTAAGAACACACTATATCTTTTCATTATTATCAGGTCATCACAACATCTTGTTAGAGCCACATCTATGACGAGCTTTCGTGCATGATTTTGGCTTGCAGCGTGCTTCTAACTTCTAAGCCTTAGAAAAGTACAAAAAAATGACAAATCTTAAAATGTCCTTCAAATAATATAAAAATAGCTAGACATAAATAATTGATCCAATAAAAAGAACCAAAACCCCAACATTTTTGTAGCAAAATGGTAGCAGTCTTCAACAAAGAACTGATGAGTTGGTACCTTATCACCCTCAAGCTCAACCAAACACTTGACAATCGTCTCCAAAATGCACAAACCCCTCCCCCTTCCACAGCCACCCGAGCCATCGAATTTGAAGAACTCCAGAAAGAACAAAACCAACCAGCTTCTCCTTCATTGCAGGTCGGAATCAAGAACAAAAATAAATCTTTCAAGGAATTTCCGAAATCCCCGGAATCAGAATGGGCAATTAACATCAGAGAGAAGCTCGACCAAGCCAAGCAAGAAGACGATTCCGGGTCATGGTCTAAGCTCTCTATTTACAGAGTCCCACTGAGCCTGCGAAAAGACGGCGACGACAAAGCTTACATTCCTCAGATGGTCTCCTTGGGTCCGTACCACCGTGGAAAGCGGCGCCTCAAGAACATGGACCGCCACAAATGGCGAGCTGTTTATCACACCTTAAACCGCACGAATCAGGAAATAAAATCGTATCTTGACGCCATTAGAGCAGTTGAAGAAAAGGCACGAGCTTCGTACGAGGGTTCAATCAACCTCAGCAGCAACGAATTCGTGGAAACGATGGTTCTGGACGGGTGTTTTGTTCTGGAATTGTTCCGGGGCGCGGCGGGCGGGTTTAAAGATCTCGGGTATGGAAGAAACGACCCGGTTTTCGCCATGCGTGGGTCGATGCACTCGATCCAGAGGGATATGATTATGCTGGAGAATCAAATTCCTCTCTTTGTTCTAGATACCCTTTACTCCATCCAGTCTGGTGATCTTGATCCGAAAGGAGGGGTTGTGGCTAATTTAGCTGTAAGATTCTTTGACCCGTTGATGCCCTCTGATGAACCCTTGACCAAAAGTGGTATGAACAGGCTTGGGAAGTCATTTGACCCGTTGACCGACTTGGCCGGCCTTCATTGCCTTGATGTGTTCAGGAGAAGTCTTCTGAGAACAGGACCAAAACCAACTCCAAAATTTGGGATCAAGAAATGGTCGAACAACAACCGGGTTGCGGATAAACGAAGGCAGCAACTGATTCATTGCGTCTCTGAGTTGAGAGAAGCAGGAATCAAGTTCAAAAGAAGGAAAACAGACAGGTTTTGGGACATAAAGTTCAAGAATGGGTATTTGAAGATTCCGAGGTTGTTGATACACGACGGGACGAAGTCACTCTTCCTTAACCTCATCGCCTTCGAGCAGTGCCATCTGGACTCGAGTAATGACATTACATCGTATGTCATTTTCATGGATAATCTCATAAACTCCCCGGGTGATGTGAGTTACCTGCACTATTTCGGGATAATTGAGCACTGGCTTGGGAGTGATGCAGAAGTAGCAGAGCTTTTCAATCGGCTATGCCAAGAGGTCGTGTTTGACGTGAACGATAGTTATCTTTCGAGGTTGTCTGAGCAGATAAACCGATACTATGATCATAGGTGGAATGCTTGGAGAGCGGCATTGAAGCACAAGTATTTCAACAACCCATGGGCAATCATATCTTTCTTTGCTGCTGTGGTGTTGTTGGTGTTAACTTTTGCCCAGACTTTCTATGGAGTGTATGGATACTACAATCCCATTTCTTGATAGTCAAACAGCTTTCTGAAATCAACCGGGAGTTGTTCGATCAATACTGAAAATACATAAGAACTAAGAATGTTGTCACTGTGTCTTGTGAGATGGTCTCACAGTGACACTTGACAAAATGAAGTGTTCTAAAAAAAAGTAGTACACGATTCTTTTGAAAAGTTACATGCAAATTTTGAAAAGCTCACCAAGAATTTAAAACGTTGGAGCATGAGTGATTTTACCTTTGTGGTGTTAAGGGTATATGGTTACCCCTGTTGTTTGAGAGGCATTTACTTGGTGTGTTTATGAATTATGAATTATGAATTGAGGCATCCAGTTTCGCAGTTTGTACTAGTGTTACATGAATATATTGCAAAAATGCAAGGGCACACATGCTAAAGCAAATAATATCTTACAATCCTATAAACGTTAATAGAGATAAGGGTATAACTCTTACAATCTCATAAATAAACGTTAATACAAGTAAGGGCATAACAGGTAGCTTAAAAACGTTGGTGTAATTTGTTGCTAAATAATAAATATGATAGTACTCTTAGATGTAAGAGTTGTACAACTTTGTATAATATTTAGGGAAATTTGTCAAATAGGTTCTATCTACTTATACGAAAAAGTCAATTGAGTCCTTGTACTTTTTAGTGAATCAGTTGTGTCATGTTTTTTTTACTGTTTTATATTAATTTTATACTCCGTACTTTTCTTTTGGTTTTACTCTTTCTCCTTCCTCTCGCAGACACTAACCGTCCTCCCCCCTCTTTTTCTTACTTTGTTGTTTCTTTCTATACTTCTTTCTCCTCTCAGTCCGCTTCTTTCACTGTTGCATATCGCCATCGCCGAACATATATAGAAGGGGAAGAGATTGCGTGGGAGGTTGTGGGACTTGTGGCTATGGCCTATATATCAATATATGGAGGTTGGCAGGGGCGGATCTAGTGGAGGCCCAGCCCTGATCCTGGACCTAAAGCTGTCAAACGGGCCAACCCAACCCAACCCGAGCCGTAACGGGTTATGCTTTATGTGGGTTGGGTCGGGCCAACCTGTTTGCCAAAAATATTTTTGGTGTAAAAATATTTTTTACCAACCCACTGGACTTTGCCAACTTTCCCTTTTTGTTTGTCCCAAAAAACTTTGCAACTTTCCCTTCAAACCAATGAATTTGTGGCTCTGTTCATTTCTCTCTCCTCTGCACAAATCTCAAACACACAGTTTTTATTATTCTAATTTCCCACCTAACATCAACTTGACAAAGTTGAGTGGGACGGAGGTAATACTTGTATGTTTCAACATTTTATTTGAATATTTATGATAGAAATAAAAGAATAATAGGGAGAGAGAACAATATTTTAGATAATAAAATTCAAAACTACATTTTTGTATTTTGGCCCTCGGGCCAACCCGTAACCCGGTGGGCCAACCCACTCAAACACGCAACCCGCGTGGGTTGACCCGTGAAACCCGCGAACTAAATGGGTCAGGAATTCTTAACCCTAACCCACCAATAAATGGGTTTAAACGGGTCAGCCTGCGGGTTTCGGCCCATTTTGACGGCTCTACCTGGACCAACCCAAATTTCAAAAAGATTTAAATCTTAGGTGTAAAAATTCTGTGTAAAAAAAAGTTCAAAAATATTCTCTGTATCGGTACAGTCCGGCCCAGTGTCCTGGCCAGGGGCGGATATACATTGAGTTCAATGGGGGCACTTGCCCCCAATAAGAATCTGAATTTTAATGTTAATAACCTACTGTTTAATATGGAAAAGAAGAAGTGCCCCCAATTAAAAAATGAAAGTGCCCCCAACTCCCAACTCTTATGTTGTACAGTAATTTACAAATTAAAGAAATGAAAAACAATCTCAGTCTCCAAAAAAGCGGATCATTCAAAAGAAGCTAGTGAGCTAAAAAATCTTCATTTTTTGTTGGGCTTCATTTTAGTAGTCTTTCCTCTTTTTAGTGTTTTATATTTTCATGTTTTACTAAAATTACTATGAGACTTTTTTCAAGAGGACTTGTACTGCTGTTTTTATTTTTCAATTAAGAGTACTTGTAATCATATTTACTAAATGAAGATATATTTTACTTGAGCAAAACAACCCTTTACTATGAGTATAATGTCACAATTACTTGAGCGTAAACTATGAGTATATGTTACTATGAATAAAGTTACTTTTTATAGTCAATAAAATTAAGAAGTCACATTTTGTTATAGTATTTTTACTTTAGTCATAAATATGTTATTAATTTTTAAAGAAATGCATATATGTTTGAGCTTAATGTTCAAATACATGAATGATTAAATGTATTAACTATGAGATTGATTCCAAATTTGGTATTGAGTATACGTTGGAATACTGTTTGTACGAAACCTTTTAAAGGTGTTTTTACTTTGACTGTTTTCAGTCTTAAACTAGATCAAACAGGCTAGACGTTTACTAGGTCGGATCAGACAAGACCAGAAAACTTTTGTACATGTAAAAACATCCTAAATGATGCCCCCAACAGCTTTTTTTTTCTGGATCCGCCACTGGTCCTGGCTCCGCCTGTAACGCCCCTCTCAGGGTTAAAGGAAACATTACACTAGCTTACTACTTTTTAAAAATAAATTGCAATATAACGTCCGTCTGTTCAAGAAATAACCCTGATAAAATCTCAAATATAATTAAAATATAGCTCCAAATAAAAACTCAATAAAATCTAGTTATCACCAACAAATGTGATAACCAGCTGGATCCAGGAATTTATTCAAACTTCAAATAATCCAAATAAATACTCCAAACCTAATCAAATAATATCAATAACTTTTTATAAAACTGAAACACTTCAATAAAATAAACTAGCTAGGAGCCGCCAAGGTCGTTCCCGTCAACTCATCTTGGCACGCGTCCCACTCTCTCTTTGTCTTCCTAGGCCTTGGCCTTACCCTTAGTATATGTACATGCAAAGAAAGAAACTGATAAGCTTTACGCTTAGTAAGTCACTATGAATCCACAAAAATATCTAGAAGTCTATGCCAATTTATCAATAGATAAATTTAGGCTATAAACATGCACTAAACAATTAACTAACACATAATTTCTCAAATACATTTTGAGAGAGATCTCAAAGGGAAAATATTTTCTAAAATATTTTCTAAAATATTTTCTCAAAACTACTAGAGATCTCAAAATTTATTTCTGAAAACATCTCTGTAAAACTTTCTGAAAGAGATCTCAAAACAACTTTCTGTAAAACTTTCTGAAAGAGATCTCATAAATTTCTAGAAACTTTTTGTGGCTAATTTTAACTGTGGGCCCGTGATATGTACTCAAACGCGCCAATCCGACAGCTCATGGGAGCGACCCACTAAATATATCGGACTCTCTGAAACTGATAAACTGAGGGAACTTGTTCCCGAGTACATATCACCTGATCTTTCACTTTAAATATTAGTTCTTTTTATGGTGGTGACGTTTGATTAAAAACATCATTAAATCTGAAAATAAAAGTACTGACAAAACCTTGACTATGCCAGATAATAAACATAACTTAATTCAGCAATTAATTTAACTCAGCAAATAATTCACCTGGTTCACATAATAGCATATAGACTAAAATCATCTATTAAAATCAACCAGACTTACCTGTTAGCAGCTGAACTCAAATTACTCAAATAAGTGCGGCACCTTGATAACGTCCTCCGGTAAGCTCTCCATTAATAATCTTTAATTAAATGTAATAATAATAATAATAACTTAATAAGAATATGATATGCAAAACAGACTAATCGACTTGAGAATAAATGCTACTGCTGCACCCCACTATGCCTAAAATTGACATGGTTATGCTGACCAAGTCATGTACCCAACCTTCTACTCATCTGCTTCTTACTAACAAAGCTCAAGGAACTAGTTACATGCGCTCAACTCTTTGATTCGAGAAAAGATCTTATGCTAGAAACAACAAGACATATTCCTACAGTACATCAATTAAAATTTACCATCAATGAAAACAAATTTTAGAAAAATGCAAAACCAAATTTCAGAAAAAGGTCATACTATAAAACACCTTCTCTCGGCAGTAGAAAATTTTGGAATTTGGTAAGAATAGCATTTAAGTTTAATCAAGAATCCAGTTAGATATCAAAAATTAGATTTCAAGTTCACTAAAAGCAAATGAAGAGAAACCCAACCAAACCAATTGACTCAACATAGTGGAGTGGCAGCCAAAGAATATAACTATATACGTATATTGCTTTAACAGAATCTTTTGAAAGTATCAACCATCCGCCAGAATTTTAACAAAACAGCCGCAAAATACAAGTTATACCAGTTTGTCTCTATCCGTATTTTCCAAAGCTCAAATTCAATAGCAGGGATTCGTAATAACTTAAATTTGTGAGGAAATACAGATTTGAATTGACATGGAGCTACAAAGGTAGGTTTAAATCTACTACGGAATAAAATCCCACTGATCAAGACCCGCTTCCACGATAAACTCTTTAAGTACTAAAATTCAAAAGATAAACTTAAACCAGAAAGAGATTGCAGACTTACCAATTTGACATTCAAATCAGAACTAAGAAAGCTCTTGATCGCAAAATTGAAAGTGATAGAATTTCTCTGGAGAGTAGAGACGGCTACTGATGGAAGGACAGAGACGCAGGACCAGACCTCGGTTTTTAATATCACGTATGACCAGTCCTTAGGGATTTCACTCTTAAACATATTTACCTGGGCTTAGTTAACTGAATTGGGCTTCTAATCATCTCTTAAAAAATGTTTCTTACACATTAAAAGTATTTTCTATTTCAAAAAAACTGATTAAGCTTTAAAACATTACTTATTTCTCCACTTAAAATTATTAGAGGTTACCGGTCAATGTTACCTGCCAGAAAACACATGATCAAACAATAAATCACATTATTCATAAAATAAACTTATTTAAGTGACTAAATAAATTAAAAGATTAATGTAACTAGATTGCTAAAATCGGGGTGTTACACCGCCCCTGGAGGTTGACTATTTGGCATACAGAAGTAAGGGCGGCAGGTCAGTGGTCAGAGCCGTGCTTCCTTTGAGGCCGGTGAGGCATGGGCCTCAGGGTCCCAAAAATGTTACAATTTTAGGGGCCCGAAATTTAAGATATTTTTATAGTATACATATGTAGAGAACATATCTGGTCAGGCGCGCCCGACCATAAATTCTTGAAACGTACTGCACATTCTGCACATTCTGATCCTAAAGTTGTGGTGTGAATTGTGATATTTTGTGTTAGAGACTTGAGAAGTAGTTTGTGATTGAATTTAACAGTTAACTATTAATCAATATTCATATACATACGTAGTATGAAATATGCTAACTATTAATAAGTATTCATGTTTTTAGCTTTTAAACTTGTAAAGCCATTTATGATCTTGTATATATTATGAGACTTGAAGTCAGAGAGCTTTTGGCCGAAATTGAATTGGATATCAAGAATTGAAAACTTTTTTTATTTAAGTTGTTCCTTTTTTAGATATTTAAATATTAAATTTTGAACATGTCACATAGTATAATATGGTGACAAGAATCAAGATTTATTATTGAGCACATTATACTACAAAAATTACATGTACGGGCCTTTTTAGTAAGTTCGACTCAGGCCCGAATTTAGGTAGGATCGACACTGTCAGTGGTCCGTGGTTGTGGCCTCTTGGGTCTTAAGATAGGGGCGATGGAGGTGATAGATATGGAGGTAGTGGCGGCTGACGGCGGAGGTGATAGATACGGAGGTAGCGGCACCGGGCGGCGTAGGTGATGGGTATGAAGCTAAGGTGGGAGCGGAGGAGATGGTGGGTATATGGAGGTAGGAGTGGCGGAGGTCGGAAGTTGGAGATGGAGGTCACGAAGCTGGTGGCAATTGAAGTTGAGTAGAAGAGACGGTGGTTATAGAGCCATGTGCCATGGGAATGGAGAGGGTGGTGGAGGGGCCATAATATTTCGTCCGCAGAGAAGAAAGAAAATGAAAGGAGATGCAGAACGGGAGAAGAAAGAAAGGGACTGGAGAAAGAAAGAAAGAAGGAGAAATGAAAAATGAAAAGAAATTGATTAAAAAATACTAGTAGAAAATTATAAAATAAAATGCCACCTGGAGAGCTATATAGCCCGTCAACCGGAAACCGGACAATTACCTGAAAAACGGCCAATTTGATCATTTTTTTTATCACTTTGTGGACTTAAATGATTCAATACATGGATCTATTTGATAATTTTCTCTAATATTTATACACTTAGAGTATCTTCAATGCTACAATGTGCACGGTATACATGTGACATCAGAGAGATGGTCACAAAAGATTAAATTTATGACATTTCTTTCTTCTTCTTCTTCTTTCAACAGTCCTATGTGTTTTTTGTAAATTTTTCTCAACAATATTAACTACAACTACAATGTCTACATTTAGACATTGTGTTTGACATTGTTGAGAAAAACTTTCTAAAAGCACATAAGACCGTTCAAATAAGGAGAAATATTATATTTGTTGATTTTTAATTTGATATCTCTCATGGCACGTATGCACAGTTCACGTTTGGACATTTTCCTCTGTTAACTCTGTTGGTCTTTAGCTCTCCTTGAAACAATTTATTTAATTACAGTTCAAAATTAGTGAATAATAATGGTGGATTACTCCATAATTAATTATTCATAGAACCCATCAGTTTTCTCTCCACTCATTAGGGAAAAGTGAATTAATTGCGCCAAACATGTGCGAGGAAGGTGTAGGCCGTAGGGTCTATGTTCTTTGCATTTTCAAAAGGCGAGGCTTATATGCGTAGTCGTATAGGAGTATATGTTGGCTTTTACTCCCTCCGTCCCCTTAAGTTTGTCCTGTTTTACCTTTTTCGTCCGTCCCACTAAGTTTGTCTCATACCATATTTGATAACATTTGAGTGGTTAGAATTCATTCTTACTTTATTTACACTTTATCAATTCAATACCAACCACACAATTCCACTTTTTCTTAAAAACCACACCACACCCCTCCGTCCCAAACTTAGGGGGACGGAGGGAGTAATAGTTTAGGGAAAAGGTGTAAATAGGTCTATGTACTAACCAAAAAAGGTCAAATAAGCCCTTATTTAGGAGGCTCTGTCCGGCCGTCATCATTTGGGGTGGTTCCCAGTGGAATTTTTTGATGAAATTTTTTGAGCATCTTATTCATCAAGTCTAGTTTACTCATACAAAATTTCAGCTAAAACTTCAATCGGGAAGGCATTCAAATGAATTCGTGAAGATAACTGCGCTTCTAAAACTTCAAGTCTAGTACATGGGCCTATTTGCACCTTTTCCCAATAGTTTAAGGATGTTTTTACTTGGACGATAAATAATTACTGGTCTGATCTGGTCTGATTTAATCTGGTCTGGTCTAATCTGGTCTGGTCTGATCTGGTCTGAATTGGTCTGGCCTGATCTTGTTTCTTTGTATTTTTATAACTACCCAAGTCTGGTATGGTCTGGTCTAGACTAGTCTGGTTTGATCTGGTCTGGTCTGGTCTGGTCTGGTTTGGGGCAAATTACAGTTCAACTAAAAACATCCTAAGAGGTAAATAAAGTAAACTACGTAGTACGTATATACCAAGACATCAAGTATATACTTTACCTCTTCGGCTCTTCCCTATGTAACATGTAGTAGATGATACTTCGTACTCCATATTTGTTATAAGTTGACTATTGACCTAGCTTATTCTCATACGGTGCAAAATAAACATTAAGAAATCAAATACAGAGTTAAATTAACCAACTTTTGATTCAACAAGATGATAACATGTTGATAACCTTGTCTCATGTATGGTATGTTTTCATACTTCCTCTCACATTATTGTCACACTAATTTTGGCCAAAATATAATACTATTGATTTCATATTAAAACCTTTTTTATTTTAAGACTTCAGGAATAGGGGGGAAATTACCTATTATCGAATTATTACTACCGTCCTTCCACTTTGACATGGTATTTGGTTTCTTTAGGTGTCTCCAGTTCCGTTAAATAGTTTTTTTCCATGGCCAAATTAAAATAGTTTATTTAGATTGCAATTATGTGGTTGTAAACAGTGAGGACCAATTGTTTATTTGTTTGTAGGTCTACATGCTACTTCTCATGCATATTTTTAATGTCGTTCCATTTTAATCTTTCAACATTTCAAAACGAGTAAAGGATCAGTTTGGTACTCGAACTTGTAAAAAAGGTGTCAAATAAGTCCTTATATAGAAGATTATGCCCGGACGTGCCATTTGAGGTGGCTCCCGGTGGAATTTTTTGATAATTTTTTTGAGCATCTTATTCATTAAGTCTAGTTTAGTCATACCAAATTTCAGCTAAACATTCAATTGGGAAGACATTCAAATGAATTCTTGAAGATAACTACGCTTTTAACGGCACAATTATCTTCAAGAATTCATTTCAATGTCTTCCTGATTGAATTTTTATCTGAAATTTGATATGAGTAAACTAGACTTAATGAATAAGATGCTAAAAAAATTTCATCAAAAAATTCCACCGGGAGCCACCTCAAATGACACTTCCGGACAGAATCTTCTATATAAGGACTTGTTTGACTCCTTTTTTGCAACTTCGAGGACCAAACTGGCCCTTATCCATTTCAAAACTCATGTATTGCTTGTCATGGGGTTTTAATCAAGAAGCATTGTGCTACGTACGGGTAATTAATCACTCCCTACTTTGACCATCAAACATATACATTATATTTACCATTTACTTAACCAAGAATTCCAGCTCATCTGGTTGTGAGGTTACTGTGTCTAGTGGAAGGTCTCGAGTTCGAAACCCGCTAGGCACATAAAGGGTTTGGAACTCAATGGAATGAGTTTCAGTCCTGATTACTCCAGACTCCCCCCAGCCCTCTCCCCCAGGCCCCCCCTGGAGTATAAAAAAATTACCATTTACTTTTAATTTTAGTGCAATATACTTTCTTTTCTATAACAAGTTTATATACATTAATTGTATCCCCAGCCACCAAATTGCCAATTTTGTGTGTTTGTATACTGTAAAAAGAATTATGTTTGCTTTCCCGCATGGCCTATTCCCCCACTTGGGCTCCTCTACCCAATCCTGCACCTGCTCATACCAGAACGCCCCCAAAAAAATTTTCTCAGATTGGCGGGAAGAACATTTAATTCATCAGATATGAAAGATTTTATGGTTGGGGGTTCATCCATTCAGGGTCGGTCACGTCACCCCCTCCACCTACTCACTTGTAGTATGAATACCAACATTTATTTTATTGGAAAAGGTTGACAACTTTGTATCCTCAAGCATTAGACTTTTCTCTAGTTTCTCTTGTAGCATTCGACTAATCTAGAGGCTCGGAGCGCCGCTCGACATAATTGTTGTAATCGTTCTATAGACCTCAATAGAATTGGATCCACTTTGTTCTAAGTACTTGTTAGCTCTTGCTTCTTTATTGCCTTAAACACTTATTAAACCATATACTTAGAGTAAAATACATAAACATTACATTAATTATTGGTAATGTTGCATTTTAGTATGTTAAGTCTTTAATAAAGCAAATCAGCACCTCAACTACGTTTAAATGTTGCAACCGGTGGTACCAATCAATATTCCAGCCAAAAAATGCCACATGTCCGTCAGAAATCCATGTCATTAAATCTGAATCATCATTATTATAAATGTCATTAGTGATTATCCATGTCATTAGTGATAGAGAAAATTGTGAAAAAAAAAAAAATACAGGAAAACGCCACTAAGATTCGAACGCGCTTTATAGGGGCAAAAATCTCCTACACTCATAAGGTTACCATCGGGCCAGTAACACTCTTTTCCTCATCTGGAAAACAAACGATATACATAGCAATATCGTGGTATATCTAGCTTTTATGATTCACACATTTATATGAATTAATAATATAAAAATATTATTTGCGGGAGTATCTTTTACACCGTAAATACTTAATATATATAATATAATATTTTCACTCTATTATATACTACGTATATATGTACGTTACTTTAAATATTTTTATTAAAATATTATTTGTCACATTTTTTGTTAATATATGTAGCTTAGTTGGAGTCTACAAACTCCATCTGTTGGACCACTAACTCTCTTGTTTACAATTGGGAAACAAATGGTATACATAGCAATATCACCATATATCTTTATATAATATAAAGTAACAGTCGTTGCACCACAACTGGAGGGAAAAATCCCGCCCAAAATATGGATAAAATAAGAAAGTAATGAAAAAAGAAAATTTGATGATTAAATAAGTTAGGTGTACGTTAGTAAATAAAGTTATAATGCTCCGTGCATTCAGCCGCCTATCCTTCCAAATAAAATCAGCCGCTTATTGTTTTCTTTTTTCAAAAAATGAAATTGTTTTTCTTACCATACATATATACTACGTACAAAGCTGAAAAATTGGAACCTTAAAGGTAATTATTTTCATTCTAAAATTCAATTGAATTGATCATATTAATGCTTATTCAATTTTATATAAACTGGCGGGTAAGTGAATATTTGACACCACCCAATTTTAGGTAATAAACAAATGCATTATACGCGTTAGAACATGTGAGTAGTGTAAAATTCAACATCTTGCGCGCTTATTTAGTTATGAACCGAGGAAATATAAGGTAACAAAGTTTGGGCAACTATTGGGGGAAACCCACCCAAACTAATGTCATAATAGGGAATTAGTGTGAAACTAATGTAGAACACTAGAATATATATGCATCCTGCCCAAGAGTGTAGATCCAAAGTAATTTAGAATGGAGCATTTATTTCCATCTTATGCATGTATTGAGCTGTTGATTGATTAAATAATATTCAATACAGAATGTTTATGTTGGAAGTGGAAAGGAACGGAAATGAATTAATGTGAAATGTTAGAATATAATATATATATGCACCCCCTCATGAAATGGTAATGGGTTTAATCTCATATTAAAAGATATTTTGGACTGATTTTATAGATTTTCCGTTAATTTAATGAAAGAGTATTTCACGCATATCATATATGGATACCACACACGTTAAAAGAGAATTTCAATACATTTATAATAAGAACTTAATTAATTATTAATTTATCATTTCACTCTTATTCAATGACTATCATTGGTGCCGTCAGATAGCATAATTCCTTGCAAATATCGACACAAGCATTTCTCAATCGTTGTTTCATTTGACATGATAATAAACAAAAGATAAGGACAATCTCTACATGAAGTGGAAATATATTTTGCGAGACATGTCTTTGTGTATAGTCAATTGTATGTTGTCACGTCAAGGGTCATCTCAATGAGTGAGATGAAGATTCTTATATGTGATGATGAGGATCGTACTATTTACACCATCAATAATATGATCTATAAAGTTTGTTGAGTTTAATCCCACACGATATAGAAAATATATGTATGAACACTCAGTTTTTACGTGGAAACCCGAAAGGGAGAAAACCACGGGACTTTTTAGGCTAATGTCCAAGCTCTCTCTTTCTCATTAGAACTCTCCTCACCATTACATAGTACATTTTGAGCTCCCATTAATGGAGTCTTGTAAGCTAACTAAGGAGGGAGAAGAAGAAGAAGGGATCTAGCCCCGCCTCCTTTACATGGAGGCTAAGCTCCGTATTTATAGGGGAAGGAGAGAAGGGGCTCTCCACCCTAATGGGCCAAACGGGCCGATATCGGGCCTGGTGATCAAAGTGGGCCGGATGGGCCGAAATGGGCCTAGCTGCTCGGGCTCCGTACTGGATAATGTCTTGGGCTCCTGAACAGTAACAGACCGGGATAATATATCCCAACACAAGTCCCCCAGTTTCTTGAGTAGTGAGTGTGCGAATCTGCTCGAGAAAATATCTTCTTGCCTGCGCTTTACCTCTGCCTAGAGGGAACCTGTGTCTTCGAATAATCATAATATATGAGTGGATGTCCACACTCCTGAACGTAATCTGCCGGTGAGGCACCCCCCTTCCCGACGGGGTCGGGCGAAGGGTGCTCCTCCACGGGCACGCTCCCCCTGAATGCATCAGGCGAGAGTAGAGGACTCTGACTCGAGCTTTCCAATCAGAGAAGCTTAGAGGTCCATGCATCTATAAAACGACGTCGCGGTACTGTCAAAAGATGATGCACGTGTGTATGTATGAATGTATGAGGTATGATGCATGAATGCATGTAATGTATGGGTGCAATGTATGAGAGAGGGAATGCAAGATGTGATAGGAGCGGTAGCTCTCAACGAGAACTCGAGCATGTCAGCGCCGAGAGGCATACGTGCTGCACAAGACGGGTCCCCCATCCGGGATGGCATGGGCGGAGCCGAAGATGGACTAGACATGATGCCGCCGAGGGGCCAATTATGCTGCATAAGAGACGTTCGCCGCCATCCTGGAAGGAGTGGGCGACCCGAACGTGAGCCAGACACGATGGCGCTGGGGCGCTGATCGTGCTGCATAAGAGACGTTCGTCGCCATCCTGGAAGGGATGGGCGACCCTAACGTGAGCCAGACACGATGGCGCTGGGGCGCTGATCGTGCTGCATAAGAGACGTTCGTCGCCATCCTGGAAGGGATGGGCGACCCTAACGTGAGCCAGACACGATGGCGCTGGGGCGCTGATCGTGCTGCATAAGAGACATTCGTCGCCATCCTGGAAGGGATGGGCGACCCTAACGTGAGCCAGACACGATGGCGCTGGGGCGCTGATCGTGCTGCATAAGAGACGTTCGTCGCCATCCTGGAAGGGATGGGCGACCCTAACGTGAAAGAGACACGATGGCGCTGAGAAGCCGATCGTGATGCATAAGACGTTCGTCGCCACCCTGGAAGGGATGGACGAGCTGAACGTGAGCTGGGTACGATGGCGTTGAGGGGCCGATCGTACTGCATAAGACGTTCGTCGCCATCCTGGAGGGAATGGGGCGATCCGAACGTGAAAGAGACACGATGGCGCTAGGGCGCTGATCGTGATGCATAAGACGTTCGTCGCCACCCTGGAAGGGATGGACGAGCTGAACGTGAGCTGGGTACGATGGCGCTGAGGGGCCGATCGTACTGCATAAGACGGTCGTCGCCATCCTGGGGGGAATGGGCAAGCCGAACCGTGAATCTGGACACGATGGCGCTGAGGGGCCGATCGTTCTGCATAAGACGTTCGTCGCCATCCTGGAGGGAATGGGGCGATCCGAACGTGAAAGAGACACGATGGCGCTGAGAAGCCGATCGTGATGCATAAGACGTTCGTCGCCACCCTGGAAGGGATGGACGATCCGAACGTGAAAGAGACACGATGGCGCTGAGAAGCCGATCGTGATGCATAAGACGTTCGTCGCCACCCTGGAAGGGATGGACGATCCGAACGTGAAAGAGACACGATGGCGCTGAGAAGCCGATCATGATGCATAAGACGTTCGTCGCCACCCTGGAAGGGATGGACGAGCTGAACGTGAGCTGGGTACGATGGCGCTGAGGGGCCGATCGTACTGCATAAGACGTTCGTCGCCATCCTGGAGGGAATGGGGCGATCCGAACGTGAAAGAGACATGATGGCGCTGGGGCGCTGATCGTGATGCATAAGACGTTCGTCGCCACCCTGGAAGGGATGGACGAGCTGAACGTGAGCTGGGTACGATGGCGCTGAGGGGCCGATCGTACTGCATAAGACGTTCGTCGCCATCCTGGAAGGGATGGACGAGCTGAACGTGAGTTGGGTACGATGGCGCTGAGGGGCCGATCGTACTGCATAAGACGTTCGTCGCCATCCTGGAGGGAATGGGCGAGCCGAACCGTGAAGCCAGGCACGATCCGTCTTGGCTGGCTATGAGAAGCCGATCGTCTGTCAGGACTTCATCCTGGGAGGAAGGGTGGACCTGGGCGTCGTCCCTCTGTCTGATCTGGGGAGCTGGCATTCGTCGTCTAAGGCAAAAGAAAACCTGATGTTAGCCGATCGTCGTCGGCCACTTCATTCTTCGTACTTAAGTTTTGTAATTATTCTTTACATATGTTTTTCAGTTTGTACTTCCCGGCCAATAGCGCCGAGGGATAAAATCATTCTTTGCTCCGTGCTCTTCTGGCATCTTTTTTTTTTTTTTGGAGTCTTTTAGTCTTCGTTCGTCCTTGGTTCTTGGTCCTACCGGCGTCCTTACTTCGAAGGATGTCCGGTATCCTTGAAACTCGCAAGGAGGAACAGGTTTATCTACATCGAGATTCCCCCTTTTTTCGTTCGTCCGTGGTCCTTTTAGTCTTACCGACGTCTCTTGCTTCGAAGAAAGCGTTCGGTACCCAAGGAACTCGCAGGATCGAACAGGTTTACCCTCACGGGTTCCCGACTTTGTTATCCCACGTCCATCGATCCATGGTCATTTGTGGGATAAACAGGTTTATCTTGACAAGCTCCCTTGGTTCGTCTAGCCCCCTCCGCGTCTCTACTAACCTCTACATCGAGAGGCGTTCGTCTTCGGCAGTGGGGGAAGATCTGGCACGCCCGGGCAAGATTCCCTTCCGCATAGGAGCTACCCTCCTCTTCTCCCCATCTTTTCTGTTTTTTTTTTTTTTTTTTTTTTTGAGGGAGGCAATCTATATTCTTCGTTCGTCATTGGTCCTTGGTCCTACCGGCGTTCCTACTTCGAGGAGACGTTCGGTATCCGCAGACATCACAATGAGAAACAGGTTTATCTACATCGAGATTCCCTAGCTCTTCTTTGTCCGTCCCTGGTCCGTGGTCCTACCAATCTTCCTACATCGAAGAAGACATTCGGTATCCAAGAAACTCGCAGGGATCACGGGATGTCACACATAATGGTGGTGGCATAGCGAACGAATATAATGACGAGGCGATAGAATAGCTGGTCGTCATGCGAATGCGATGGTCACCCCCTGGAGGGGAGTCGTGAGCCCGATCGCAAACTCAAGAGGGTCGGCATTGGGAGCCGACAAACAATGATCACAATGTCGCTGAGCAGTCGGTCCTGATAAGGAGATGGCAATAGTGTCCGGTCAGGCCGATATATCCGAGCAACGGCTCTCATCCACGCAGCGCGGGGATGAAACCGGTCTTCAAAAGATAAATATGTCGTGCCGAGAGGCCGAACATAACATGAGAGTGTCGGCAGTGAGAGGCCGACCTGAAAGAATCAAACAACGGTCCTCGTCCGCGATGTGGCGGGGACGAGGCCGGTCTTCAAAAGATAAGCACGCCGAGCCGAGAGGCCGGTCGTGGTATGATGATGTCGGCGATGAGAGGCCGAACATGATGTGATAGTGTCGGCACTGAGGGGCCGACCTGCAATCCAGCAACGGCTCTCATCTGCGCAGTGCGGGGATGAGGCCGGTCTTCAAAAGATAAACACGCCGAGCCGAGAGGCCGGTCATGATATAATGATGTCGGCAACGGGAGACCGATCTGAAATCAAGCAACGGTCCTCATCCGTGCATCGCGGGGACGAGGCCGGTCTTCAAATAAGATAATCATGCCGTGCCGAGAGGCCGGTCGTGATATAATGATGTCGACAATGAGAGGCCGACCTAAAATCAAGCAACGGTCCTCATCCGCGCAGCGCGGAGACGAGGCCGGTCTTCAAAAGATAAACACGCCGTGCCGAGAGGCCGGTCATGATGTAATGATGGCGCCAGACGGCCCTCGGCCGTGACGATCTCTTCTAGGCCCTCGGCCTCTGAATGACGGGTGATCGTCTCACGGTTCTCTGTCATGGCATTCGCCTCTAGACCCTCGGCCTCTAGGTGTTCTTCCTAGGCCATCGGTCTCTGGCGTGGAGATGCTTGTCCCACAGTTCTCAACTGTGGTGGTCTCCTCTAGGCCCTCGGCCTCTGGGTGGAGATGCTCATCTCTCGGCTTTCAGCCGTGATGGTCTCCTCTTTAGCTGGCCCTGAACGCCTTTGAGACTCAGGTCGAGCGTCTTTTAGTCATTTCGCTCGATCACGTCGAGTGGCTTCAGCTGCGTAACTAACATGGTAACGGGCCGCACGGCCCGACAATAAATATGCACACATAACCATGTGCATGGCTTTCTCTTTAACATCCACGATTACCGGCCTATGGGTCATCGTGACCCTCGGCCCGGCTCATCGTGCGGGGTTAATGGACGTAGCAGCTCGCGGCGGGGCCAATTAGCAGCCCGCCGAACGTCACATAGAGATAATCACTGGTCTGTGAGTTTGAAAAACTCAGACCCAAGTTGGTCGCACTGCCCTCGAAAAAACGAGGTTGAGCGCTTTGGTGCCCTCGGGAACCATAGGCCACGTTTGGCAATAGTCACTTCGCGCCTAGCGGCGCGGATGGTTCTGGGGTACGGTCGTCGATCGGGCACGTAGTGCCGTGCGGACTAACGTGCAACCCTCAAATTAAAATGCGTCGTTGGGGCATCGCCCTTTTGGAGACGCTCAGACCGCTTAATCAAGCTGATCGAGAGTGGGCCAACGGGCCCACAAGCAATTAAACATTTAATAAAATGTTGGCCGAACTAACTATCACTAGAGCTTCGCTCCGCATCATTTAATTCGGGACATTTTTATCCCTAATAAATAATAGTGATGTACGGGTAGTAATAATAGCAATGATATTATCCTATCAAAGGCCATTCAGGTATGTTCCGCTCGCTAATTAAAGCCGATCGGGAGCGGGCTGTCGGGCCCACAAAAACCAGTCATTAAATTTAAATGACGGTGAAAACTAATTATCACAAGAGCGTCGCTCGGCATTATTTAATTTTGGGGTATTTGCTCCCAATTAAATAATGGTGATAAAATATTTTAACCAATAACAATACTAGTACGAAGCATTTTAACTAACAATCATACGAGTAGCATTTTAACTAAAGAGCAGGAGTAAGAGCACTTAGCTCTAAGAATAGATGTTCGGCCAGTTGGAATTTCTGGAATTAGTCAAGATGCTCCCAAACTTATCCATCCGCCACCATTCATCCTACTCACGTGGCCTTATGAGGACCAAGGCTCTTGAGCGATTCTGCAACACCCCGCACCTTAGGAAAGCTGGCTGAAACTCCGGCTCCCAACCCAAGGACAAATGACGGCGGTACAGACGCAAGGATGACCACATGGTCTGGTTCGGTGGGAGGTCTGCTACTCGAGCTTTGAGAGTACCCTCCCCGAGCTCCAAATCCCCGTTAATGGCAGAGATCAAAGAACTCCCAGTTGGCGGGTCCTCGCGTCGCGTCGACAGAACAGGATGGGCGGTGGAGGTTCGAGCCGCGGCTGACCAGGTGGTGTGACGACTCAGGCGGTGGTCGGTGAAACCAGATGCTGGCCACGAGCGACTCCGTTGCAGGCGGCGTTTCACCAGAAGCCGGGATCAACAAATGGAGCGCTGCCGCGAGCTCCATCCAGCGCGCGTACACTCGCCCAAGGTTTCGTGGCGGCGGGAATGATGACGGCGGTTCCGGCGATTCCGGCGGCTCCGGCAGCTCTGGCAGTTCCATCCCAGATCTGCAATTTTCCAGAATCATTTTCTCAGAAATTTTCTTCCTCGTTCCCAGAATCTTCTTCCTCCTATTTTGCTTTCCAGAATGCTTTTTCTTTGTTGGAATCAGTCTACTCGTATGAATTTTTTGTAGAAACTCAGTAGAAACTCAAGAACAGTAGAAATACATGAATCTTTTTGGACAGATTCCCACAGACGGCGCCAGTGTTGAGTTTAATCCCAAACGATATAGAAAATATATGTATGAACACTCAGTTTTTACGTGGAAACCCGAAAGGGAGAAAACCACGGGACTTTTTAGGCTAATGTCCAAGCCCTCTCTTTCTCATTAGAACTCTCCTCACCATTACATAGTACATTTTGAGCTCCCATTAATGGAGTCTTGTAAGCTAACTAAGGAGGGAGAAGAAGAAGAAGGGATCTAACCCCGCCTCCTTTACATGGAGGCTAAGCTCCGTATTTATAGGGGAAGGAGAGAAGGGGCTCTCCACCCTAATGGGCCAAACGGGCCGATATCGGGCCTGGTGATCAAAGTGGGCCGGATGGGCCGAAATGGGCCTAGCTGCTCGGGCTCCGTACTGGATAATGTCTTGGGCTCCTGAACAGTAACAGACCGGGATAATATATCCCAACAAAGTTCATAAATTTTATGAACCGTTTTTTAACATCGTCAGCATATATGATTGTTCTATTTACTACGTATATATAAATTAAAGTTTCATGACACTCACTAACAATTATACTACCAAGTTATTTAATTGTCTCGTAGAGCTTTTTATATATATTACGGAGTATCATTTATTTCTATTTTACTTTTCAATTTATGATACGATCCAAAATTTTATTTTCTTATAGCTACTTCAACGTATATAATAAAAGTTACATCATATAAATCCTATCGTCTTTTTTTATATGAAAAATTACACATTATATACCATCATAAAACATAATTTTACATAAATTACTGGCTATTCAATTCTAGATATACCCCGTGCATCGCACGGGTACTTCGTCTAGTAAATATATTATATAAGAGTCTATCTTTTACACGATAAATACGTAATATATATATTATTCACCCTATTATATATATGTTACTTTAAATATGTTTGTTAAAATATTATTTGTCACAGTTTTTAGTCTAAGAGCTCCAATTGTTGAAACTCCTGACATTTTCTTTTTAACTTTATATATGCAATATAGGTATAATGTAATGCATTATATATTTTTTTCACTCTATTATATATGTTACTTTAAATATTTTTGTTAAAATATTATTTTTCACAAATTTAGTCTAAGGACTCCAACTGTTGAAACTTCAAACATTTTTTAAACTTTATATATACAATATTGGTGTTATATGACAGATTAAAGAATTATGAATTTATACTTTTATTATTTCTGAGAAATTATGAAAGAAAATTATGAAAATTGTCTAAAGGTTCAACAATTGGGGTTTTTAGACTAAAAAATGTGAAAAATAATATTTTAATAAAAATATTTTAAGTAACATATATATATATATAGTGAAAAAATGATATATATATTATGTATTTACAAGGTAAATATACTCTCGTATATAATATATTTATAATATTTTGGGAAAGTTCCCGAAATAGGACTAAAAAGTTTGAAAATTCCAAAATAGGACTGCCATGTTTTTATTCCCAAAATAGGACTAATTACTGCCAAGTTTAGAAAATATTGCCATGTTTGAAGTCTGCTACTGCCAAAACATGGCAGTAATAAGTCCTATTTTGAGAATAAAAACATGGAAGTCCTATTTTGGAATTTGCAAACTTGTTTAGTCCTATTTCAGGTAATATCTCTAATATTTATGTTATTATAATTAATATAAATGTATGAATCATAACAGAAGTTCAAAACTAGGAGTTATGTAATCCGTATACTTTCATAGGAGTAAAAATAATTGGATTGACAAAATTACCCTCCTTAATGAATGCGCTACTTTATTTATTAAGAATAGAAAATACAACAATAAACTAAAGCAGTACAATTGTTCGTTTCCCTCACACTCACCCCAGTCACAAGTTGCTGCCCGCAGTACCACCCAGCACCTGACACCAGCCGCCTCCGCCGACCACCGTTGACAACTGCCGACCTCCGTTGACCGCCGCCGATGACCTACGTTGAGCGGTGCCGCCAACCGCCGCCAATCGCCGTCCGGCGCCGCTGAAGCTGCAATCTCAATCACTACAGCTACCTCTGGCGGCGTCACAGTTTCCAGTTCCTCCGCCACTAGTCGCCACCATCTGCATCACCACCTCCGGATTTGTGCTATTGCTTCCTCGTTTAATTTGGTCCACACATCTTGTAGCACCACCACCAACCTTAGATCTAGAAAACATGTTTTAAAATGTCATGTAACCATTTAAATACCATTTTAATGAGATTTATTTTTTACATAGAGCATTTAAAATTTTGTCATTTTGGCATTTGAATGTTATAAAATTTTATGACATTTTTAGTGTCACAAAGAAATAATATTGTCATTTCTATGGAGTTAGTGCCATACAAAATGACACTGTTTGCAAAAATAACATCTTATATATATATATATAAACATGACATTAATTGCATTGTTTTTGCCATCTAAAAGTAGTTTTTGTCATAAAAATGGCATTAAGCGTCAACTTAATATTTTCACCTAAAATAACATGGCATTATTAGCATTTTTTTCACATAAAAATGGCATAAAGCGTCAATACCATAAAAATATTTTAAAATGGCAATTATGGCAATGTCATATTCAAGCCACAAAATAATCTCAAAAAGTACAAAAATATTGATTGAAATCAAATGTAAAAAATAAAATTCTATATTGTCATATGTAAATTGAATTTCACTCTTTAAAAAAATGTCAAAAGAACAAAAACCAAAAGAAAAGTGAAAGAGAAAACGAAAAATCAATCACAAATCATAAAAACAGATCGGCGAAGAAACAAGAAAATTAAAGCAAAAAAAATCAATTTGTCCTAATCAAGTAGGAAGCCTTTCAGTACTTCAGGCTACATAAAAACAAAAGGCTCCACGGCCTATGAATTAAAAGAAAAGAAAAGAAAAGAAGAAGGGGGAAGAAGAGGAGGAGGTGGAACTGTGGAAGAAGAAGAATGAAGAGGAGCAGGAGATTAAAACTAACCTGTGATGAACGCCGCCGTCTACTGGTTGCTAGAGTTGGAGGAAGAAATTCACCATTCTAGTCTTTGTTATCCGCCCGATTGTAAATGGAGAAGTGAGAAAAATCAGATCTGGAAGTGGATGAGAAAATACTAGAGGAGAGAGGAAGAGTGAGATGAAAAGAATAGGAAGTGGATCAGAAGATGTGTGAGATAGAATCTGACAAGATAAAAGTAAATTAATTTATAAAAGGGGTATAATTGGTAAAAGTAACGGGCCAGTTAATGAATAACTCCTATTTAAGGAATAAATCACTAACAACTCTTATTTTGGAATAGCTCCTATTGTTTTACTCCCATCTTTGACAATTACTTTTATAATTAATATAAATGTATGAATCATAAATCATAAAAGATATATATACCTCGATATTGCTATGTATACCATTTGTTTCCCAATTCTACACAATCGTTCTGGTGGTCTAGTGGTTGCCGTTTGGTAGTAGGGGATTTTGCCCTTGCAGCGCAGGTTAGAACCTCAGTGGCGTTTTCTTTTGTTTTTTAATTTTTTTCACAACTTTCTCATCACTAATGACATGGATAATAATGATGATTCAAATTTAATGATGTGGATTTTTGTTTGACATGTGGCGTTTTTTTTTGCTAGAATATTGATCGAATCGTATGTACCGCCGGTTGCAACATTTAAACGTAGTTAAGGTACTGATTTACTTCATTAAAGACATAAGATACTAAAATGCAACATTACTAATGGTTAAGTTACTGTTTATGCATTTTACGCCATATATATATACTTACCAAGGAATTCGGACGAATGGCAAAAGACTGTGTTGGACCTTTGAATCATGAAAAATAAACCTCAATCAACACGTACTAAATAATTATTGTCTTACAGCCTTGCTGCATTGGTAGCTAGCCGGCATCGATGAGCTTGTTCGGTTGCTATTACAACGAGTTGGTTATTTGGAGAAGTCGACGTCCATTTGTGGACAAACAACCCTTCCAACCCATACTACTTTTCATTTCTTCTTCTTCTTCATATCTGACCTCGTTGAGACCTTGGCTGATTGACTAGCTGTAGGTAAGTCGAGTAGTCCCATAATTAAGTCATGGAACAAGTGAGTTTCCCCCGTAGATCCATTGCTCAAGAAGGCATGAAGAAGAAAGTCTTTGACGGAAAAGGTAATGTTAGAGATTGGTATCTAGCACGCACATTTTTTTGAATTACGTGGCCTCACATCACTTTTTTTTTTTTACAATTGACCTAAGTTCACTTAAGTATCCTAATAAATACAACATCCAACTTTTAGCTTAAGGTACTTAAGGCTAACATAAGTTTTTGTTTGAAAAAACATAAATTCGGCCTTTTCAAAGTAAAAACTAAAAAAGCGTAAAAGTGTTTTTTATAACTATATCAAGCATTGCTTAAGATAATGTTATTTTACTATATTAATGACATTGTGAGTACCACCTGAGGTGGGTTAGATGCAATTAAATTAGTTCATAAAGAAAAGTCAATATATACAATTAAAGTACTTAGAGATAGAGAAATGCTCAGGTCCAGCCGGAGGGACGGGAGCTGTTGTCCGAACTTTGATGTTTGGGGGAGTTAACGGTGGAAGTTTTTGATAAAGTTTTTTGAGCATGTTGCTCACCAAGTCTAGTTTATCCATACCAAATTTGAGCTCAAAATTCTATCGGGAAGGCAGTCAAATCATTTTTAGATGTTGACTGTGTTTTTATATGTATATTTTGGAGCAGTCAACTTCAAAAAATGATTTGACTGCCTTTTCAATCGAAACTTGAGCTGAAATTTGGTATGGATAAACTAGACTTGATGAGGAACATTCTCAAAACATTTTATCAAAAAACTGCATCGGGAACCGCCCCAAACGTCGAAGTTCAGACGGCAGCTCCCGTCCCTCCGGCTGGACCTGCGCATTTCTCCTTAGAGATAATTCCCTAATTAAGACTAAGACATGACAAAAATGCAATAATAGGACCTTAAAATTCCGTAGGACTAAAAGAATGTGTTCAGACGGAACTACCCTTGATGTGAGTTTTCTCGCATTTAAAATAAATAGTGATATAGGGTGTAAGTACGAGTATCGTCTTCACAAGGATGGAAAAAGGGAATCAAGAATTAATTAAATTCAGTGATTAAACTAAATGAAAATAAAAGCGTCGTGTGAGATTGATTGAATGAGAAAAAGAACTAATGCGAATGAGCGAAAAAAATAATGAGTATTATATTCTTATAAGTCGTAACGGAATTGATCCTTTCCTCGATTTCTGACAAAGAAACATATCATGTCTTTTTAACAACTCTTATTCAGAAACTTCTTCGCCAACCCAGAGTCCTAGACATTTCCGCCACATTCTCCCTCTCCAGTGTCATCGCGAATAAGGTCTTTCAGACTTCTCTAAGTACCGCACAACTTCTCCGTCTTCGATTTCACCGTTAATGCCCAAACACAATCAAACTCTCTCTGTTTCGTCTCCAACTGAGGTCTGTTAAATGTCCCACACTGAAAAAGTTTTGACGAACAAAGTTCTA